CAGGCATTATTGAGAGGATTTTTTTTTTTCTTGGAGACAGAGTCTTACTTTGTCACCCTCAGAAGAGTGCTAAGGAGTCACAGCTCACAGCAAGTGATTCTCTTGCCTCAGCTTCCCAAGTAGCTGAGACTACAGGTGCCTGCCATATCACCCAGCTATTTTTTAGAGACCAGACCAGCTCTGGCTCAGGCTGGTCTCGAACCTGTGAGCTCAGCCAATCCACCCGCCTTGGTCTTCCAGAGTGCTAGGATTACAGGCATGAGCCACTACACCTGGCGCTATCGAGAGGACTATGAGAATTTTAAGCCACTTTTATTTTTTAGCTTTTAGTTCAGCTCTCACATTCCTGCAGCATTTGTGCTAACCGTAGGAATCTGTTGGAAACATGAGAGCTATACCTTAGGTACAGATGATTTTGATTTAAACAAATCCAATTAATAGAAATCTGGATTTACATAATAGATAAATAAAGGATTCTTGTGTTTACAAATCCTGATAGGATTCTTAGAAGTCACGCCTGTCCTAGGCACGAGACGGACTCACATGCAGAACCTACCAGTGGGAAAGAGATAGGTGGCGTGTGAAAAATGGGACAATCTCTCCCCCACATCCTTTCTCTGAAACTTCTGCAATTCAGTCTCAAATGTTCATGGGTGGTTCATAGAGAAGGGAGTAAAGTTAGACGTTCCTGTTACCTCCAGCCCCCTACTTCCTGGCACCTTTCACGTGGAGAGGGGGGCACTGCCAGAAAGCACCAAATCTGAAGTGCCAGTACCTGGCTCTATCCACTCAGCAAATACTGACAAAGCACCTGCTACCTGCCGAGCGCTGTTCTAGACACCAAAGACAGGGCACTGCTCGGATAGGGCTTACTTTCTATGAGAAGAGACGTTTTTGTAAGATGTTTGAGGCTGGCACCTCTCTCACAAGGTGGCCCTCCCCTTGGGTTGTTTCTAGCATAGAAATCCTGATCAGAACGCCCTCTGCCTTCATTAATGATGTGGATTCAGAGAGGTGCCTCCTCCCTCCACCCACAAATGTGGTATCACAGAATGAGGGGCAAGAATTCAACTTAGTAATTTTGTGCAAAACCGCTTTCCAAGGGATAAACTGGTAAAGCAAAACATTCTTACAGTATAATAAAAAGCGTGTTTGTTGTGAGTGTATGAGCATGTGTGCATGTGTGTATGTGTGTGTGATAGTCTTGTTTGTGTGCTTCTCTGTGTAAGAGCTTTGTTTTTTGTGTGTGTGCTCTTGTGTGTTGTGTGTGTGTACTATTTTTAGGGAGGATCTTTTTATATAGCTGGTCCTGATTTGGAAGCCTGCTTTATTAATTTCCTTTATCATAGATGAGGAAACTGAGGCCCAGCAGAGGCCAGAGCAGCCTCTGTTAACTGCCTTATCTAAAGGTGACCCAGAGGGATTGCTGACCAGTGCTGTTTCCATTCACTGCTGTCAAATTAGAATTGACCATCTAGAATCAATCCTTTATTCACTGCTTCAGTTTGAGGAAAGAATGAATTAGAAATCATTTTTGAAAGCAGAATGCCTGTGCATTTTTCCTTTCTGTGATCGAGGAGCCTGAGAGTTTTTCTGGGAAAACTAAAGCATTGATTAAATCTTCTTAATCCTGGTGGGGCAGCTGTTTGACAGACTGTTCCAGGCTCAAACCAGCCCTGGACATGAGAGAGTTAAAAGACAATTGCCATTTGCGAAGCACTGTAAGAAATAGATTGTGCAAACTCAGATTGGCACTCTGTACACAGCCCCCAGAGCAGATGAAATGGTAAATAAAGCCACCCCCAAGTGATCACAACTTAGCAAACAGGATTAATGCTAACTTGAAGCCATTATGGAACATTTTCAGGTAGAGAAATAAAGTAATGGGGTGCCAAGCCTTCTGGAAGCCTCCTGGAGGCCCTGGGATGCTCTAGCATTCTGCAGTGGGAGAGCAGACTGGAGGCTGCTTGGTGAAGTTTTGCTCACAGATAGGCATTTGAACTTGCACTCCTTCAGCAGGCAGTCGTGCCTGGCAGCTCCACTCAACACAGGGAGTCCCCTGGGGACCGAGGAAGGACTCTGTCCCCAGCTTTCTTACCTCCTTCCTCTGGATTTTAAGGTGTGTTCCATGAGCCTTTAATCCCTGAATGACATTTTCCCCTTTAGCTCCTAAATTTCCTTCTCAGTCTAGAGTTCTTAAAATGCAGGCTACAGCTCCTTCAGGGCTCAAGGGTAGGTTTGGGCAAGTGCAGATGGTGGAAGCAGCTGGTCTGGCCGCTCTACCTCTTGAATTTCACCTCTTGTCTCTCTCCCTGGCCTGCTATGTCTCCCATACTGGTTCCTCTCTGTCTTTTGAAAATGCTAAACTCTTCCAATTCTGGCCAGCTAAGCTTATAGCCTGTGGTCTTTCCATCCAGGTGTTGGCATTGGGGCTTCTGGCCAGACACCTCCACGGAGAGACCATTTTGATGGAGTCACTCCTGCATTCCCTGGGCCCCATGTCTGTGTCAGGTGACCATGGCACACTGCCCTATGGCACAGGCCACTCTCTGACACCCTGGTTCTTTTACTTGATGGTGGTTTAGTCTCTTGACACTACAGTGTAAGCTCCAGTGTAAGACAAAGACAGGATTCTTTGTCTATCTTGTTCACCACTCTTAATGTTAGCATCTAGATACTTAGTACACAATAAATAGCTATTCAGTGAAGGAATGCACCATCCCTCTGAAATGGTAAGCTTAGGTGTAGATACCCACGTACTTGTACCCCTGGGGAAAGTCCCCAGCTTTAGATAGAGATTCATAACACCCTCAAACTAGATTCATTGAATAAATCCTTAGGAGAGCTGCCATTTGCCACCAAACCATGGTCCCCAGACCAGTAACTGTGGCATCTCTTTATAGTCTCCAGATCTCACACCAGACGTGTTAAATCCAAGGCTAGTTTTTAACAAGATCCTCAAGTGACTCATTAAAGTCTGTGCGTTGAAGTTTGAGAAATACAGCCCCAGGACGGACCAAATACAACAAATAACTTTATCCAGGGCCTAATATTTGACCTTAGGTCTTTGCTGGATATAGTTATTTTCAAAGGTTAAAATGTTTGTAAAATACTCAAACAGAAGGTAGTATAAGACTGTAACTTTAAAATGGAGATGTGTCTTCTGCAGTGGTGTCTTTAAAAAACACCATTTGAGCAATGATATAATCATTATAACTGTATGAGTATTTATATATTTAGAATTACTTACATGCTTATTATAATCATTACTTTGTAAAGGTAGAAATCTCTTGTTAGTTCATAACTTTGGCTCATGCTGAAATCACCCAGGGAGCTTAACAAAAGTTGGGTTTCTCCCCTAGAGACTGTGATTTAATTGATCTGGGGTGAAGAGTGGGCATGGGTCTTTAACAGTAAGACTATAAAACAGATTGGAGCTTGTGCTAAAAAATAAAATGTCAAACATCACTCCTCTGCATGAAATCTAGGTTTACACGCACCCAGTGTATGTGGTATACGAATATTCATTGCCACTTTCTTAATAGCTCCATCTTGGTAAGAACTCCAATGTCCACCCACTGGTGGAACTGCTGATACGTCCGATACAGAAGTTACTGCAAAAGCACTCCTGACAGGGCAAAATCATTGTGCTAGAGAGCAGATCAATGGCTGCCTCGGGCTGCAGGTGGGGAGAGCAAACACTTCTGGGGGTGATGACAGAATGCTTGTATGATGATTACATGACTGACTAGTTGCCCAAACTCATCAAATGGAACACTAAAATGGGTGGATTTCGTTGTATGTGAACTCTAGCTCAATTTTTTGAATTCTCTAAAATAGCTCCTCCTTTTCATTCAAGAGTGTAAGTCCCTAAAAAGGCCTACACAACCCCTCCTCCTACTCTCCCCTTCCTCATTCTCACCCCACTCCAGCCTTCCAGGCCTTTCTATTACTTCTCACACAAGGCCCCAGGGCATGGCCAGGCTCAGGACGGAAACCAGGACTAAGCAGTTAGAAGACTCCATGGCAGCGGACACTGCTGTTAGATCCAGAGAGTAGCTTTGTCCTTTTTTTAGTAATTGACTGCTATTTTACAGAAGTACATGAGCGTGAAAATGGGTTTTAAAAGTTATTTGGAAGATTCAAGTTTTAGAAATAAAAAATCATTTTTCTGTTTTCTTCATGTATACACAAATCATGTTACCAATCCAAGTGGCTTTCCCCCAAGTATACAATAAAAATTGTGATAAAGTTTTGCTCACAGAAATACTAAAACAGGAATACCGAAAAATTACTATTCTTTAATACGTACTATACTTGGCAAAAACTGTCCATTTCTAAAGATATCCATGGTTTTATTAGCAGCAGCCTGAATCAACATAGCCTTAAGTACATGTCAAAAGCTAAAGAAAATGAGCTTTGGAAATTACAGAGAGGTAGCAGAATTAGCACTGGCAACTCTAACAGCTTATTTGTCTTAATAAAAAAAGATTATAGATTGTAAGACCTTTCCTTTGGAGGTCTTTCCCTAAAGAGGTTAGACATTAACCAAGCGTAGTCCCTAAGAACAGGCCTACCTCACGAGGGAAAGAGCATAAAATGCAGTTTCAAGATAGTATTCCCTTTCCTTCTGTTTTCCCAGAAAACAATTAAGCACAGTTATTCCTAAAAGATCTTTATTCAATTAAATGCTGAATGAAAAGACCTGTGGAATGACCATTACCAGCAAAATATGGTTCATTTCTTTGAAGGATAAAAAGATCAAATTTAGACACTGCTTGAGTTTCATTTTCTTCTAACATCCAGAATGATGGGTTTCCATTAACACAATGTCATCTACCACTTGCTGTGATCTAACTCTCCTTAGCATCCATTAAAATGGTTTAATGTTGCTGCATCATTAGCTGCTCTAGGGTAACACTAGAGAAGCGTCCTGTTACAGAGCCTCGGATACCTCAAGATGACGGGGCAATGGGCCAAGGAGCAAGGCATTGTAATGGAGAATGCAAATAAGTTTATTGTACAAAATTAAGGCCTTCATGTTTCACAGTTCTCTAAGGCTAAAGACAGACTAATTTGAGTCCTTCACAAAAATGTCACTTTCACCCCCCCACCTCCCACTATTAAAATGGCATGACCAAATGTTATCAAAACAAATACTATAAATAACACCAAGTCCTTTGAAGATAACCATCCCAAATGTTATTTCTTGGCATAGGTGATCTTCATGGCATGGGAAGGTGTGATCTTGAACCCCTGTAAAGCATCCCTGGCAGCTCCAGCCTGCCCGTCATTTTCAAATTCAACAAAAGCAATGTCATGCCTCCCAGGTACCAAACGTACTTCCTTGAAACCAGGAAACCTATAAAGTAGAAAAACAATTCATATATACATTCAAATACATAAATGTCTGCTTGTATTAAAATTTATTAAGCAACTTTCTGATACTGGTCCAGGAAAAGTAATTATAGCCTAACCAAGAATCCTGAATAGGATGGATGAGCCTAAAGATTAATTATTTATACCATTAAAGGATTGCAGGAATAATGTGAACTAATTCTATTTTGTATTATATCAAAGCTTTTTATGTCAGTATCTCGATTAGAATAACTCAAACATTAGAGGAAATTTATTTATTAGATTTAATTTACTAAATCTGCAGACTGGCTCCAACCTATGATTAATCCCAGCCCAAACCAATGAACCTGTAAAAAATTACTGCTGTGTGACACAACAAATGGATTCAACCCACGGAAGTGCTATTTGCCCTGTCAGGAGGCTTCTGGAAATAGATATGAAAAAACTTACTGATTAAACAGCATGGATAACATCATCTCATTAGTCTCTTCTGGTAAATTATTAAGGAATAAAATATAGTTTGGAGGATAATCAGGGACCTATTAAAAAAAAGGCAAAGTTAGCTTGTAAATATCAACAGCATCGTAAGCCACTCGGCTCTTCCATGAAAACCTAAACTTCAGAGCACTGCACTGTAGTTTGTAAGGGCCTGTGACAACTGACTGCACCAAACACTAAAGCTGAGACTCCAAACTTCAGAGCACTGCACTGCAGTCTGTACGGCCTGTGACAGTTGACTGCACCAAACGCTAAAACTGAGACTCTAAACTTCAGAGCACTGCACCGCAGTCTGTACGGCCTGTGACAG